ACATATAAGTTGTTTAGGTTTTTTCATCTAAAAAAGTGACATTAATTTCTTGATGACTTAATATTTTATGAGTAACTAGCAAATAAAAACAAGTTGCAAAGAATATAACTATTCTTTAAATTATAATCTGAATTATAATCTACAATTTTATATTAAACTTATTGACATATGTTAATCAAATAGTAGATCAATAAAATTTTGAATGTAAGTCTACAAACATGATGACATGGCCTTTGAACCCTGACCACAGGAAGACCCATCAGACCCATCTTGGTAGGGTTAAAGGTGCAGCCACCCCCATGATCCAGTAATATGTTATGACTTAAAAAACTGTTACATTTATTCTTCTTTACACATGATATCACAGACTATTTACTCATAGTTATTTTCAAAATAAAATTTTATATTTTCAAGCTAAAATTAAGGTTACTGAACTTAAGGGTTTCAATCCTTCTTTGAATCTTTCTGAAGTAATATACAAGTACACTTGCCAGTTGCCAAATAGGATACCCACAGATACAATCAGTCAGCGTATCTCCATTTAAATCAAATAACACTACTAGGATATAAAACTTGAATCAACATCAAACATTACCAGGTATGTCTTAAAACATAAGATCAACCAACATTTACTGATGATTTCAGGATTATCAAATCACTTGATTGAAATAAAATGCTAAAAATAAAACAAAGCTAGTTTATCATAGAAAAAAACCTGTTTCGAATAGTGTTGACAAAACTATTATTTCTGAAAGTATACGCAGATTTATTCAAATTCTCCAAGAAAAACAACCTACTTCCAAGTAAGAATCTAACAACAAGGAAAGAGCAGCAGCTCATAATCAGTATATCCTGAGGAGAAGGATCATGCTGAAAATCCCCAAACTTTCAGGCAAAGAGGAAAGTGAAATAATGGCCAAAAGGCACACATGGGTAATCATACAATTTTCTAATCACCCCGAGAATTCTCTGTTCAGGAGGGAACAACAACAGAGCATACTTCACAGCAAGTTCTACCTCAGCTTGGACATTATTAAAGGAGTTCCATGAAGAAATACTGACATACAAACATATGTAAAGAAGGATTAAACACCTAAAAAGTCACAGAGAAACATAAACAGAATAATTATTCTTCAAAATACTTTTTATCAACAAGACAAACAAGCACAAAAAAATCTCATCAAAACCAAAGAAAATGTGTGAAATAAACTTTTAAAATGAGAAATAAAGTAAACAGAAAGATAAAAATGCCTTGACTGTAAGATTGACAATGAAAAGAATGGGCTCTGGAGCCAAAACATGCTAATGGAGACTCTATTATACATGTATGTAGATAGAAGGTGGTCATAAATAAGATGGCACAAAAAGTCACAGACAGAAAATACCTGAACAATAATTGTTTGATGGATTAGCTACAAATCTATCTAGAGATACAATACTGTTATTGAAAGCACTCCTAATTTCAATTATTTTACATGGCACTAAAGTGGCAGTAATTAATATATAAAAAAAAAGAAAAACCTTTTCACTTTAAACAATTAATATGATTCAGATACACGGTATTGTGTTAAGCAGCCAAAACAACCTGCAGTTATTAACAGGAGTGATAATTTAGTGATTTTCCACTTTCTGTAGCTCAGACTGTGGTAATCCAAACTATCACACATTTTCAGTGAATGTGTTCCTTACTTCACATACCAGATTTCAAAGCAATCGATTAAGAAATGCATGAGATATAAAATATCCAATTTTAACTGAGTTTCTTCCTTTTTTTAATTCTTTGCACTGAAAGTATGGAAACTTTATTTGATAGAGAAACATGCTTAACTTTTATGAATTTTTTTTCAAATTTGGTACACTGATAGATCTTTACAACCTACAATTAGCTGCCAAATTTGGTGTAACTGTAAGCCACATGAGCAAAGTTATTCAACAAAAACCACTCAATTTTGATCAAAATTTTTGTGCATGCCTACACAAAATGTCACATGAGCTATCAGTCATAAAAATGTTTACTACGAGTAAAAGTGGACCGTTTTTAGTTTTTTGTCCTTTGGATTAAAGACGGCTGATTTAGAACAGCAAAACTATAGGGTGAAAGCGCATGTAAATACACAAGTATTGGTTAGGCCAAGCATACTAGATTATGGGTGGATGGTTATTATTTACTGCCAACTTTTAAGTACACATTTGCTAAATTTTGTGAAATTCTCCTAATTAAAGAGTGTTTGACCATCATGTGATATTAGCTTAAGCAATTAGTGTAAATAATGATGCTTCACACAGCTGTACCGAGTACATGTATGTGATGACAAGAAACTGTTAATCTAGATTCCATAGTGTTACTGTAAAGAAAGTTATTAACACCATATATTTTAAAGAATCTGTTTGTTTCTGTGAAGTATAGATCGGTTCCGAATAATAGGGTTGCAATCCTAAAGCTAATGTTGGTTACTATCGAGAGTCACTTTCTTACTTGGTGTGTATTTACAAAGAGTCATGATATCTAGGTGTGAAAAAAAAAAGGTGCGGCCAAAAATGGTTTGGGCATCATCATGCCCCAAGCTTAACAAAAAACACAGCCTGGCTAACTAATGAATAAATATTTGCTGTAAAATTCTTATCAGTGCTACAAGTGTAGCCACCAGTTTTAATTTCATTCCTTTAAGTTGCACGCTCAATCCTTTTTTGCCCACATTTAAGGTGTTTTTCATTAGATTACAGTAGCAGTAACTAAGACATACACAAAAAGAAAGTATTCTTACTTTCAAACACTTCAGGTGCCATCCAAGCAGCACTTCCTTTGTTGTTTGTCATATGGGTTTGTATATCACAGGCTGTTCCAAAATCACAGATTTTAAGCACAGTTCCACCCATTACCAATAACAAGCTGAAATAGACAGAAACAATACAGATATCATTGGATAGTAGAACCAGTTAGCTGAACTCTAGAGTATATTTATAACTTTAGAAACTACATTAACTTTAAAGCAAATGCTAAAACGTAAACCAATACAAATAATACTTATGTATCAAAACACACAATACATCCAGTTCAATAGACAATAAAAAATTGAAAGTAACCCTTGATATAAAACAATACATCTTTTAACATACCTGCAAAAAACTACTGCCCCATTAAATGTGGTCAGGTTTCATAATTTTATCCAAATACATATATCCTGGCCATGGCTACATACAGACAACTTTGTATCTGTAACAAATCACAGCCTTATAGCTTGTGGATGAAAATTATAAAACTTGTGTCCAGAGACCTGGACTACTTGATCTTAAGCATTGATCAAGTATATAAAATGATGTTCACAAACACTGTCTAGATTAATGTTAGATACAAGCAAAAACTATCAAATAATAAGTAAAGTAAAACAAAAGATAAACTGTAAGATCACAATTTCATCTAATTCATATATATGATAAATGTAGATTTAAACTTACAGAGTAATCAACTGAACTCAAATTCAATATGTAAGTAGAAGATTGCTGACCTAAATTCATGTTGAGAGTAGAATTATAACCTCTTTTTCCATCAATATTTCTTTTAATCAAAAGTGTTTGAATAAGAAATAAGTAACACTGCAAAAAAGGAAATGATCGCTCTAAGAAGGTCAGTTTAAAAAGTTTGTATTTTGGCAGATTATTCTCATTATTAATTTTCTGACAGCAAAAATTATATGTGACTGTATTTAAACAGAAATTTTGTTGTATTTTGTCTACTCCAAATGATGACAGAAACACAAGCTGCAACATGCTGATAAATTTCTGCAGAAGTGCTGTACAATCATTACCATCATGCACTGTTCACTGATAAGATAAATACAACAGGTTTTGAATCACACAGATTTCTCTCAATTTGAAGTAGTTAACTGATATCTTGTGTTTGTTTTAGCTCAATATATATATATTTATTTCTACTTCTGTCAGTGTAGTAACACTATTTCACATGGTAAGGTGGTATTTATTCATATGTATATACTCTAGATTTAGTACAGTAACATTTCCCAGGTCATTTTAACATCATACTATTGTTTCCTTTACCACTAACGATCATTTTCCAATGAATTACTACTGTTTAAATCTATAAAAAATGTAGTACCTTAACAAATATACCTAATTATGGATGTAATTAAATTTTCAAATGAAAAATTCATATGCAAGGTAGACAACGATAAAGCCAACATATAGATACAAGTGGCATTATGCATCTATTGCTGACTATAGTATCATGGATCTGCTTGTATGTGTTTTCACATACTTTAAATTTCCTTTTATAAACAGTGATTTTAAAATCAAACAAACTTGTACTACATGTGCATACAAGTTATAAAGTGTTTCAATTGTATTTGACAATGACACCTTTGAGAACTAGTAACAACAGAAAGTTCAATATATTATTGGATAATAAGACCTTTTATAATTAGTAACAACAGAAATTTCAACACAGTATTGGTAAATGTCATCTTTGATAACTAGTAACAACAGAAATTTCAACATAGTACTGGACAATGACATCTTTGATCATTTGTAACAGCAAAAAGCTAAACATAAATACAGTCAATGTGAAACATAAATAGTTATGCGACTTTTTTGTAACATTTTTGTTTCTTTCCATCTCCAGCAAATATACATATCTGTTGGAGGCTGTTATTATTTAAATATGATTTCTAACCTCAGAAGTTCATTTAGTGGCACACATTCACTAACTGTTTCTTTAACAATGTAAGGTTCATTGAACCACAGAAGTTCATTTAGTGGTACACACATTCACTAACTGTTTACTTTAACAATGTAAGGTTCAGTTGAACCTACAGAAGTTCATTTAATGAAACACATTCACTAACT